TATGTTATGAAAAGAAGCGGCGATAGTACACAGCCCTGACGCACACCAGAGTTCACTATAAAAGTTCTAGACAACCCTGCCTTTGATCTTATGCAGCATTCACTACGTGTGTACAGGCTTTTGCAAATATTAATGAGATGATTGCTGATTCCTTTTTTCCCCATACATTCCCACAACATATTCCTGTCGACTCTATCGAAGGCTTTTTCTTGGTCTATGAATGTCAACAAACATGTCTTATCATGTTCTATTGCCCTCTCTGATAGTTGTCTCAATGTATAAATGGCATCTGTGCAACTTCTGTTTCGTCGAAAGCCCATCTGTGCTTCTGAAAGTTGATACTCTATCAATGGTCTCAGCCTTTTTTCGATGATCTTAGCATACATTTTCCCAGTGTGACTGAGAAGTGATATTCCTCTGTAATTAGTACATTCCCTCTTACTTCCTTTATTTTTCCACAGCGGGACAATGACAGCAGTTTGCCAATCTGATGGTGTTTCTTGATTTTCCCATGCCACCTGAAATATTCTCTTTAACCATATTGCTCCCGTTTCTCCTGCTGTCACTCGTTGACATTGTCCGCTAATACTTGAGCCACTCACCCTGCGTGTGCCACTGAGTCTCGCATGGCAAAGATCGTAGCCTAGTTGTCGCTGCACTACAGGAGGTGGAATCGTGTCCTTTGGTATATCCATGGGAATGGCCCGGGGTGGATAGGTAAATATAACTGCCGCCACTGCCCGAGCGTTTCGGATAAGGGGACTGTCCATAACTGTGGAGGTTGTTTTTAGGTGATATTGTTCTTTGGCCATTAAAGATGATGTGTGTGCTTCATTTGTGTATGTGTTGAGTGTGTTTGGTATAGTTTGTCTGTCACAGGGCCGTACAGCGAGCCCTAGTTCAATAATCTAGATATCAGGTCCTTGACAGCGAGGTCCAACCGCAACACATACGATTCTGTTCTCCCCGACTTAGCTCTCTGGATACTCTCCCAGATCTTAGTCGCGTGCTCAAGGCACCAAGAATTCCACCTTTATGAACCGTTGTCTCAATGTATTTGTTCTCCATCAAATATTGTTTGAGTCTGCGTGCCATAACCGAGAAGAATATCTTGCCCTCAACATTTAACAGCGAGATAGGTCTGGACTGGGATAGATTAGAGAAGTCTCACTCCTTCGGAATGTAGACTCGTTGGCTCTCTGCCACTCAGTAGATATGTACTTTGGGATCCACGCTAGCCTTAGTAAGCGGTGAAGCATTCGGAGGACGTTCGGACTCTTTTCACAACTTCTTCGACCTCTGACCACAACTGGAAGGTGTCCCTAATAGACTGCTCTCGCTCCCTTTTGGCCCTCCGTCTGTTCTTATAGAAACGCTCAGCGCGACAGAGGGCGCGATGTCTGCTCTTCAGCTGTAGCCAGACCTGGTACAGTTCCTTCCGTTCGCTGCCTGTAGCGGCATTGAACCGTTTTCTTAGTGCGCTTTTGTCTGCTCGGCACTTCTAAATGTCCCTCTGCCTTCTCCTTTTTTTTTTTTTTTTTTAACTTTTGTAACGCCCGGCTGCGTCTTCTCGACTGAACCGAACTCACTGGCACAGTGATTGTAGATTATGCCATAAACAGTGTTAGCTTGTCACCTAGCGACTTGTTCTTAAGTTCACCATTAATTTTCTTACAAAGTATTCTCTCCAACTTGCACCCCGACATCCTATCGCTTGCGGGTGAAAACTTGATCTTCGTCAGAGATCTCAATGATAGAAGTCTTGGGACTCTACGGGCGAGTCGGGATGATCCTGTCCGTCGTTCCCTGACAGCTCATCAACTACAGGAGTAGCTATGGGTTTGTCTTCCCAGAGATACCCAATTCAACTGTGAAAGAAGTTATAATTAAAGTACATATAAGTTATATAACAGCCACACGAGCTAGATGCATCCTGCAATCCTATGCGGATATAAACGATCGGGCAGACGATGCGACTTACATTTTTTTTAACATTATAGCGGCACTCGATGAAAGGAATGTCCCTACAATTTGGCATCTGCAAATGCTGAGCATGTGCTCCAACACTGTCAACTGTATGCTGTCAAGTGAGACGCAATCTGACCTGTACCAGCCTCGATAAAGACAAAGTTGTAGACAAACAGAGAAATAGACTGCACAATAGCTTTCATAAAGGTTACCAGCCTCCTAATAATAAAATTTCTGACAGAAGGATCAAAGAAAAAAGAAGAAGGAGATGAAGAAAAACATATGAAACAGGCACTCGAAGGATTAAATGTCATGCTGTGAAGTAGTAGTATTCTCTCTCTCTCTCACTCACACACACACATATCAGATTCAACACTTGCTGGCTTATAAATGAAATATGTGACAGTAAACGTATAAAGGGCCCTTTCAAATGCCTTCAAGCATATTGGGCATATATGGCAAGACCTATCTATTACAGTCCAAAGTGCATAACTGCAGCAATACAGAAGGTTCCACAAGTTTTCATACACAGGAACATTACCATTATTTCGAAAACATTTCAATGTGTCATCCACTACAGAAGCACAGCTGGAGTTACACTGGTAATGACATCTGTGGTATGTTTATTTTTCCTATGTATGGAAACTTATGGGATACCCTGTCATCATCATAAGCTACTTCTGCCGTTAAGCATCGTGGGGAGGAATAATTTACGATTCAGTGCACGCTGGCTGCCACTGGCTTTTGTCATGCTGTGAAGTCGTAGAGTGTCTTTAATGTTGTCGATCCACATTTTCCGCGGCCATCCTCTTGCTCTTGTAGCTGATCTTCTGAGATGTAGTGCTTGCTATGGTTTCTGATCTTGCTGCAATCTAAAGAGATGGCCAAACCACTTGATCTGTTTTTTCTTGATGAATCTAGTACGAGGTGTCATTCCCACAATTTGCCTGAAAGTTTCATTATTTACTCGATCTCGTATGGTTAGGTTGGCTGCTTTTCTCAGGCACCTCATCTCGCAGGTGGTGATTTTGCATATATGGGCTTTAGATAGTGTCCATGTTTGGCACTGGTAGCTTAATGTTAGAATGAAGATGATGTTAATAATCTGTCTCTTTGCACTCATAGTTATGCTTGGATGTCTTAATAATGGTGGCAATTGGTATATAAGTGCACTTGCTTTCTGACATCTGTACTTCCCAAATGGGAGAGTGCAGAGCCTAATATGCTTTCCCTGCCTCAAGGCCAAGCCATTCAATTCTCCTAAGTTTAAAAAGGGGGAAAACCAGTCGATTCCGCAGTTAGTAACCGGCCACATGTACACAAAATTTAAAACTGGTGAATCAGCCATGTGCACATGTGGATTGGCACCCAAGACAACAGATCATGTCCCCCAAGACTGTCCCAAATACAACATATCAAGACAAAACTTTTGGCCAAGAGAAACATCTGGGCAAGTCAAACTTTACGGGTCACTGAGTAAATTACAAAAGACAGTGAATTTTATAGCGGAGACAATGTTGCAGATATAGATAATCTACTTAAAGCGTATGAAAGAAGAAGCAGAAAAAGAACTGGTGTACAAATAGAATGAATTAATGTGAACTTCAACTAAGAAGCTCAGCACAAGAAAGAAACACAGATGCAAGCAAATATTTTGTTTTACCGCAAACTAAGAAATATTCAGACAAAAACAGTCACAACCCATAAGTTATCAAAATACTTTAAAAACAAAACGGCAACAGGAAGTTGATGTGAAACAATTTTCACTTAGTTTATTAGCTTCCCATAAATAGTTTGCATTGATGTGTTTTTGGTATCAGCTCCACCCAAAAATAATGTAAAAAAAGGACAGGACACATAGATCACTGAAATTTGTATTGCTGCAACTAATCCATAGTCAGTGGTCAACTAAGGATAACATAAGCAAGAAATTATTAGGGCATATAGAATATTTAGTGCTTGCTGCACATTTTCCCGTAGCAACTAATGGATGCGAGTCAGGGACTCTTAATCTTTGAAAAAGAAAAAAAAAATCGAGAAAAAAAATCAAGCTTTTGAACTAAAACCCTACAGAAAAATTCTTAGAACACCAATGTACTTACTTAGTTGCTTCTCTTCTGCCTTGAGGTGTAGAGGTTTGCCAGAGAGATTACCAGACTTCTCTAGCTGCAGTTTTCTTTTTTTGGCTTTGTTCAACTCCAGTCCTTTGTCAGTCAGGGACTGTTAGATGTTGGATTCCCAGCCACCCTGGGACACCCTGCTTCTTCCCCATTTCAGTCTATTACAGCTCCACGGTATCTGAACTGGCTGACCTGCTCTAATGCATATTTTTCTTTTTTTTGCGTTCTCTTTCTATCATCGTTCTATCAATCTTGCCAGTCGCTACTAAGTTCTCCAGTCCAGTCCTTCTTATGTCGAAAAAAACACACAGAATGCATACATCTAATAAGTTTACAATTTTCTACTGTCTTAATGAGGACTACTTCGTTCATTTTTCTATCACTCCATTATATTCTTTGCATCTCAAAAACCATATATCTGCAGTGAGGAAATATTTTTCAGCTTTTCTGCTTAGTGTCATTGTCTTCAGTAAATTCAGAATCCAAAGCGGCCATGATGTCATAGAGAAATTACTCTATTTTACCATGAATAAGACGCCATCATGGGGAAGAGGACATCAATTTGCTAGCCCTAAATTAGGAAATATAAATTTTAAATACATTCTGTGTATTCGTGACTTCAAATTTCAAACAAAACAATTTTGGGAAAACATTGTCTTATACAAAGGAAAATAGGATACTTCCATTTCTTTCAGATCACCTCAGCTACCAAGGACAGCTGGTTACCTCATACATGTAGGCAACAATATAACTGTCTTATACAATTTAAATCTAGGATTTCTTTGTTGGATTCACATCTCAACAAAATGAAACAAAACAAAGTGGCTCTTTGAGTTACTGATGTCAAATCTTCAGAGGGAATATAAAAATCACAACAAACATGTGAAAATAAACAACAGAAATTGTTGAATGTCACAATGCCTTGGTCACTCTGAGAGGTTTTAGGTGCTTTCTCTTGACACGTGTGCCACAGTGAGGGTACGGACATTTACGTTCTTCTGACACCTGGATTGTAGAGGCAAAGAAGAATTGAGTTACGAGTTTTATTCAAAAACTACTCTGTTAATTAACATGTTAAAGAAATATTGGTCAACTAAAGTCATACACAATCAACATCTCCAAAATAATACTAATAATAATGTTCTTCTTCTTTGTTCACCCGCTGTAAGCTCCAACGGAAAGTTCTGGTTGTTCATCCAGCTGTAAGCTCCGACGGAAAGTTCTGGTTGTTCATCCAGCTGTAAGCTCCGACGGAAAGTTCTGGTTGTTCATCCAGCTGTAAGCTCCGACGGAAAGTTCTGGTTGTTTATCCAGTTGCACACTGGCTTTGTGTCAGGGCCTGAGTTTTGTGGGCACAACCGTTTTATTGGTTTCTTTGGGTGAAGTTGGTTGTTCCTTGCTGCTTGGGCAGATGCACTCAAGACTTCGAAGTAAGCTGGGTTATAATACTGATACTAAGAATCCATTAACGTGCTACTGGATGGCAATGTAATTATCAACCGTGCTGGCCTGATATTTATTTTTTTAAATAGAAATAAAAATGTCTTCAGCTCAATAATATTTATTTTCAATCTGAAAAAAAAATTTACTGTCATCAAAAACTGTCATTAAGACCTGTATTTACCACATTTTAGGATGGCGTCGAGAGAGTGAGATAGAGAGTGGGTGGTTGGGTAGGTGTGTGAGTATGGATGTTTGTGAGTGTGTGTGTGTGTGTGTGGGACAAAAAAGAGGGGGGAGGGGAACGCGTATGAACCTGACTATTTAAGTCCAAATGGCTAGTACAGTCACCATAAGTTGCACAGGTTAGGTTTCTTATTTTTGAAGCCCCCAGTGAAAAAAAAAAATTACCGTCACTTTACTTGAGGATTCAAATTCGGATTTCTGGAAAGAGAGTCCACTATTCTAACTGTTCAACCAGTGGCTCCTCTACTGAACTATCTAGTTACCTCAAAAACTTTCTCTTTCCAACACTGGAAGCAGCACTTCTAACGTATCTATCTAGTTACCTAAAAAACTGTCTGTTTCCAACACTGGAAGCAGCACTTCTAACGTTATCTATCTAGTTACCTCAAAAACTGTCTGTTTCCAACACTGGAAGCAGCACTTCTAACGTTATCTATCTAGTTACCTCAAAAACTGTCTGTTTCCAACACTGGAAGCAGCCCCTCTAACTTAGCTATATACTTACCTCAAAAACTGTCTGTTTCCAACACTGGAAGCAGCCCCTCTAACTTAGCTATATACTTACCTCAAAAACTTTCTGTTTCCAACACTGGAAGCAGCATACAGCTCCACATTCATGCTGATACCCATCGACCGGAAGTTGTCCACACAGAACACAAGTTGAAAATATTGTTTCACCTGAAAACAAAGATAAGTGCTTTCTTGATATCCTCCCCCAAACAGGGGAAATCCACAGGTCACGGGACAGTCTAATATTTCTAGGGGTGCTAGATAGGCTGCGCATGCAGTTGTGGGACCTAGGCTGTATGCAGTCGTAGGAACGTAGGTGGGTTGGGGCCATTTATAGATGTTTTGGGGTCGTTAAAACATCAGAAAGCCTCGAAACCCAGTCTTACAAACCCTCTAAAATGTTGGACTGTCCTGTGTCGTCATCTGGGGTACAATATTAAGAAAGAACCCAAAAATGTATACATACACCAACATGCATTGTCTCTCTCTCTCTCTCTCTCTCTGTGTGCGTGCGTTTTAATGATCATCCGTAACAGGTGCATTGAAACTGAAAAAAAGCAAAAATATCTCTCCACAACATGCAATTCCGAACATCATGTATCCGTTCGTGTGCTGACACCTTTACATGCTTCTTTCTTCTTCTTATTTTCTTTTCTCCTGGAATGCCTCGCGACAGTACGGCAGGAAAAGACCTATAGAACGGGCCTTGTGAGATCTTTTCATTTTCTACGAACACTAAGTAAGTCACTGTCAGTTTGCTGGACCAGTCACAGTGTTTTTCAAACTTCCTAGAAGGTCACACTTGAACTAGACTATCACATTTAACATGTCCACTCTAGAATGTCTGAAACCGACCCGGTTAGATGTTGTCTGAAACATTCCCTTGCCTCGTCATCTTAAATGGAAGTCTATATGCATTGACAAAGTATTTACCAAAATTCTTTTATCTTCTAACCTTTTTCTAGTCTGTCTGGTCACTATAATATGTTCCAGTTTCTTTCTTCTTATAATATTTTGTGGCATGGTCATTAATTGTCCAGGATTCAGAGGCATATGTTAAAACTGGTTTTATTTTGTTTGGAATTCGGCAATGCCCATGTCTTACTAGGACCAAGAAGACAGAAGAGGAGAAGGAAGAGCAGGAAAAAGAACAAAAACAAGAGGTAAATACTTCAAGAACAAGAAGTAAATTCTTTATGCCTGGTTTACTGTGGTAAAGGCAAGGTAAACAAATTTGAATACCCTAATTTAAAATAATTTAACGGACACCTAAAACACTAATCAAAAATTCTGATTCAGATTGGCCGGTTCTGCATCAGTTGGTGGTGAATTGATGTATGACAAGCTAGATGTTGGAAGGGCATTTTGGGGGTCAAGTGAAGAGGGCGGAGGCACAAATAGATCACCAAGGTCTGTGGAGAATCGCGCTGCAGGGAGTTACCCGGGGATCTGGCCGATGCTCAACAATCAAGGGAAAGGCGAGATGGATATACAATCAGACAGTTACTGGTGCCATCAGAATTGGAACTCTTCGCCTGCTGCTGATGTTGGGATGGAGCGCTTGTCGGGAGGGGGGGGGTGTTCCCTTGAGGGAAAATAGTTTTTGAAAACTGGACTCAAAAGGGGCCCTTTGTGGCGAGATTGGGGAGTGTTTTTGGGGGGATGGGGGGTGTTGTGGGGGGATTTAAAGATCGTTTGTGCGCTTTTTTCCCAAATCATTGTTCCCAAACTGGTGTTCATTTCTGTCAGTTGCTCCTGATGTGTCGCTCCACCCTTTTGCGTGTCTTCCCTTGCACGGGTTTTTTATTTTTTTTTTCAGAGGGTCCTGGGCGCTGGTACCGGGCATTCTCATCGGGTGGCCAAACCTCCATTTTTTTTTCTCTTTAATTACTGTAGACTGTTTTCAGTCCTATCTTTCTCAATTTTTTCCCTCCGATTTTTTTTTTTTTGAAGGGTGGGGGCTGTTTTGGCAACCGTGAAATTTCCTTTCATTTATCCAGCAAATGAAAAGCGACACTCAACTCATCATGTTTTATCGGAGGGGGGAGACCCGCAAAATCCATAATTCCGGGGCCCCGAAAATATAGAATTAGGGCCACCCTACGCCCCCGGGATCAATGATTTTTTGAGAAACAAAGGCTCTAAACCCAATTTAAACTCTTATTTTTAAAAGCAGCGTCTGTGGCTAGGCTTGCGGTCCGACTCGTAACCCAAAAAACCGCGATAGAAAACCCCCGCGGGCGCGTGGATTTTTTTCATGGTAGGGGGTCGAGGGCACCCCCTAAATGGTACCGAATGGCTTCCCGGGAAAAATAAAGCGGCCGGGGGTTTCTGACCCATTACCCCCGTGTCGATTGGCTGTAAAAAAAAGGCGCCTTTCCCTAACCAGATGCCCTGGGTAAAAAGGGTCTTTACTTTTTCTTTTTACTTTATTGTGAACAGCCCAAAGGGTAAAACCGAAAAAATTCACAGACCCTGCCCCATAGGGTCTTTTTTCAGGCTTTTCCACGTGGTAAAGCTTCTTTGAACTTTCGGAGGAAAGGGTTAACTTTTAACTGCACTTTTAGTTTTTGGGCCGGTGTTGGGGCTTTTTGACAGCTGCCATGCATTTAAAGCATGTATCTTTTTTTAAAAACGAGGTGTGTCCATTTTTTTTACAAGGAAAAAGATAAGGGCATTTTGTTGGGTTTTCACTGCACAGAAAGATGACACGTTTTTCTAAAATTAAAAAGCGTTTCTTGATTATTTTGAACTACAGAACATCCTGTTCACTATTCTGCCTTCAGGAAAACCGGCAAAATCACGCCTTCCTTTTCCACCCTTCCCCGGTTTTTTGGTAAACAAAAATTCTGGGGTAAAAATTCCACTTTCAAGGCCCCTTCCGCCCAAAATCAAAATACTTTTCCCGGCATCGACAAACCTCGTGTTCTGGTGCCCGAGCTCCAAGGAAATGGCCGTGACCTGCAGAGACTATCCTGGGGGACTCTTTTTC